CGGGGAGAGGAGTTATATATACCCACTTTGTAGCTCCCAGTTTATATTTCTGATGAGGAAAACTTCCAAAAACCTAAATTCCAAAATCACCAATTCATTCATGCAGTAATATGATAGTAAACGATACTAATGTTTATGATGAGTTACCATCTGAGCTTCTATACTTGATCAAAACCTTAAAGCTTCATAGCAAAAAATAGTTATTATCGCTACAACTGCTTAGCAGAATCAACTCTAGTACGTCTTCAATGTTCTCAAGTTCCTTAAAGCCACTGAAACTACAACACCACTACCAAACAAGTAAATCAAGCACCAGACGGAACTTAGTTTACACAAAAAGGTTAACAAAACAAAGTGAATAAGCATATTAGCAGTGCATATCAGCCAAACCAACCATAGAAAAAATACATACCTTTGAATGACTCATTATAATCTCTAAATTGATAGCGAAAATGGTTGATATGGCAAAAAATAAAAAAAGGCGAACACAGGAAATAATAATGACGAATTTGTGAGGAACAGACTAACCTAATATTAGATCACTCCACAAACCAACGCCAATTATCAAACCAATGAAAACCGCACAGTGATGAATGATGATGATGCTGGTTGCTAGGTATCTTTATTACATCCATCTTTACTATGTTCACTTAGAGTCGTGTCTTAGCTGCTTCTTAAGCCAATTTGTTGGTTTTCGCCTGTAGAATTTAGAAATTTCGTGACATCAGGCATAACATGTCTAGGAGGTCCAGATCTCCTAGAGTCTTCTTGTCAGCCCAAGGTATTCCTGTTTTTTCGCCTCAAACTATCTACCGCATAATTCAGTGCACTACAGTCATGAATTTCACTGGTGATAATAGGCAGTTTTGTCTTAGTGCTATGTTCATTTCAAAGGCATCTCTGATCCTTCTTTTGTGAATCCCTTTTCATGTGAGTTCATCAGATAGCTAATGAATGAGGATGACCAACTCTTGAGGCACTTCGTAGTAGTGGAGCAGTTTCTAATCAATTAGCGGTCAACATTGTTCATAGTCGCTGAGGGTGGGGTCGAGATTCGACTGCTATTCTATGCTCCACTGGATGATGGCATATACCATCGTACTTTGATCCGTTCATGACCTACTTTTTCTAGATCTGTCTTGTGGTGGCTGGAGTTTTGCACCTACGGTATCTGTTTTTTTGTCTCTCCAGGTTTCTGTTGCTTAATATTTTGCTTGGTGTGGACAGGGGCGTAATTCTGCTCCATTCCTTGCAGGGGAATACGCCAGCCCTTTGAAATGCAGAGTCTTCTAAATATTTTAAACATAAATATCCGAATGTTTGACAGACGATTTGATCATGTTAAGTGTAAGGTGATGCTCTGGGAGTGAAATACATTAATTTCTAGTGTTAACTAAGGGAATCAAATTTTAGGGTGTGGCACGTCTTCACTTCTTTATCCTCCCTTGTGCCAATTATCAAACCGGTGAAAATCATAAAGTGATGAACATGTGTTACATCTTAGTTTCATCCTCTCTAGCAATGTCCAATCACCACTTACTATGAACGGTACCAAAGATGTACAGGCTATGCAGCAAGGGCTTGATTATCCAGCTTCTGGTCTCGACTCAATGGTTGATGAAATCTAACCATGTGGTCGAATGGTAATGCAATCACGGCATAATTTGAAGTCTCTAAATGAATGCATTTGTGCGGTGGTGACTACGCACCACCAGAAGTCCTAAGGTAGCATGAGTTGCCTATCCCGTTTTTTGTAGTCTTTAGTAGTGTTTCAACTGATATCATGTCGGAGCGAAGCTTACACCAGTATAAAATGGGCGTCCGTCATTTTTGGAGAATAAGATGGAGGAAAGTGATAGGATAAGAAATGTTATGACTAGAACTCGAATATTTCAGTCTTGACACAAGAAACTAATGGAAGCATTCATCTAAATAGCTTATCAATCGTTTCCTAGTAATGCACAGCTCAAAATGATGGGTTAAAAATATCAGAAACAAACTATGACGTCATTGAACCTATTTAACTATTCGGCAATAATGGCTCATATCAGAAATACAAAACTACCTCTGCAATGGTGTTTGGAGCCACAAAGTTCAGAGATTTCTCAGGCACAAAATACTTAAACTGTACCATGAAAACTCACTAACCAAACACAATTTTATGTTGACGGAGAATCAAAATGAACATTCAGAAAAATGTGAAATCAAACAGGACAGAACATATTTTCCACAGATAGTGCAAGTTTAGGCAGTACTACGTAATGCAGCAATTTGGTACACTCCCCTAGTTATCAGCCATTTATAATGAAGAATAAACCTGTGTTGGTACAATTTCTGCGATTATCATCGGTAAGAATGTGTCCACCAAAAGATTTGTAAGTTAGACATGGTACCAAATTTTCTTTGTCTATCCTACTTAATAGTAAAGAAAACTTCCTGAGAGGTGACAGAAAGCTGAAACCATGTGTCCACTTTTAGTTGCCTGTTTTATACCTCTTGTTTTAATAAGCTCTCTAGAATCAGTAGCGATACACCTTATATCTAGTCTTGCTGACTCCTTTTAAATAACTGTATTCTGCTGTTTGACATGGATAATGTAGTCACTGAATACTGATTTGAGCGACGTACTTAGATGTGTGTTCAGGTTATTTTTGTATTTTTCGTCAAACAATTGCACTAAACTGAGATGCTCAGCCTATGTTGGCGAACCACCTCCCAGGATGAAAGCTTCAACACTGTCTCAGGGATAACATGATACTGTTGGCTTCATGGTAACTAACACCCTTCCTGTTTGGGACTCGTCAGGTTGTTGTACTCGTGTCCCCTAAACTGAAACTCGAGTCTCAATGGGAACACGATCATTCATTGATAATCTTGAACGTGGCTGGTTGTTTCCGGAAATTATCTTAATTTCTGTCTCCCTCTTTTGTTCACTTGTATTGATACTGTATGGTTTGTTATCCCGACAGTTGACTTTTAGTGCATGTGACCTCCTTTTAATTGTTTGGTAAATCTTACCTGTGTCAATGTTCCGCTGATTACAGATTTTGTTAGAGTGCCGGTTTCTTAAAGATTCCCTTGCATTTCTCGTGTCTCTTTTGTATAAGATTTGTATATTTTTCCAGTTGATTTGGTGTCTTCAGTCGTGTAAATACTTTTGATGACGCGCCAAGTTTCGGAACCGAGGAAAATCAGTGGAATCACATTAGTGTTGAAAACCCGAATCTTATTATTTATACTGTGTGCGTCAGGTTTTCATACTAATTTCAGATTAATGGTGGTATGTCTTGCTTTTTCGGTTCTGCCTTTGACATCATCATTTATGCTGCGTGCCCGATGTTGAAACGATGCTGTCTAGATAAGTGAAAGGATTGATCTCCTTAAAACATCTTCCGTCGATGGCGATTAGTGTTTGTTGTTGCTGGTTGTTAGGCATCTTTATCACCTCCATCTTCATTTCGTTCATTTAGAATCGTGTCTTCGCTGCTTCTTAAGCCAATTTGTTGGTTTTCGTAGAATTTAGAGTTTTTGTAACATCAGGCATAACATGTCTAGGAGGTCCAGATCTCCCTACCATGTGACGTCATATGGCTACTGTGAAGCTCCACCAAGTAATGTTTCTGGAGGAGCTCGACTATGTCTTCTATGAGTAGTTGATGTGGTGGCGATCAATACCAGAAGAGGGGATTTCTGTGTACAGAGAAATTATGTCCAAACGCCATGTTTACCTTGGCCTATAATAGGGCCAAAAATTGCACATAAACATTAACACTTTAAATCCTTACTGCAGTTTTCTCTGTTTTCTTTTCTTCTTCTCTTCCTTTTTTCAGTGGCAAGCGTTCATTTCTCACCTTTTACGACTTCATGACCTTTCTTATGTTTTTAGAACCTTATGTTTAAGTAATGCTTTTCTTACTTGTTATCATATATGTGAAATCCTCTTCATTTCACTTCATTAAATCCATTATTTTTAGTTAATAATCGTTCACCAATAGTACTTTTTAGTTTAGACCATATCAACGTTATTAATTCACAATCATTATTATTGTCAGTAATTTCACCCTTGAACTTACGTCTGGTTTACTTTCTGTTGTATTCATTTTGTGTCACGCGCCACTGATTATATATATATATATATATCATTAAATTATTTCATCTCATTTTATCTCATTTTCTCACCATGAGATATTCATATTCATAAACTAACTGACCATTGTTCCATCATATCTTATACTTGTTCCACAATACATTTCTGATATGATCCTAATTTACCTTTGCTGACTATTGTATACTGAAATTAGTGGATTTATAATTGTAGAGTTTGAAGATCTCTTTTCGTGACCTCAACTCAAAGCCGTACAATTAATTAGAGTTTTTATACATCTGGAATACCTGTTACATCGTTTGCTATGCTATGCGCGAAAAAACCCTCATTATGGATAAGATTTTATTTTGATAAATCACACACAGTGTTGTACAGTTATTTTAACTGATGACGTTTCGAGCACAAACTATTGCTCATAATCATATCATATCAACTTGATATGATTATGAGCAATAGTTTGTGCTCGAAACGTCATCAGTTAATATAACTGTACAACACTGTGTGTGATTTATCGAAATAAAATCTTATCCATAATGGAGTCATACTCTACCACAGTGCCCAAGTTTTATACTTATAGCGTAAACACCTTGAAGTTACTTTTATCTTTAGTCCGTTTTAAATGTTATGAATGATCTGAGTCATCAGGGTTAACAGACTGGGAGATATTCTCTTTATATATTCAGGCTGAAACTACACAAACAATTATTTCACAAGATTATTTATCAGAACTTCAGTTTAAAAGAGTAAAACAAAGATAAGTTAAATTAAAAATAAAACACATGAATTAAGCTGATGAAACAAAATGTTTCGCTTGGCTCATATGTGTGCTTTTGTAAAACTCCAGGAATCTCCTCCTGTCTCACTTAATTGATTCAAGTATGCTAACCTTCTGATGTCAATCTTCCTGCATTTTTTGGTCTGAATAAAGCAATAAAGGAAATGAAAAAATGATGTCTTCCATACGACAGTTCCAAGATTTAATGAAATTTAGATAAAAGTATGTATAACATGGAGTCAGACCATAAAGTCTTCGACTTTTGCTTACATCCACTTAAACAGGTGTAAGTTGCACAGCTGAGAACCAATAGCTAGGGGATGTTTCTAATATGACACAAAATCGTTCACAATAGGGCCAATGCATTCATTTTTTGTTAACACTCACATTCATTAAATTCTCATTAATCTTCATGAGATTGTTTTTTTCTGTAAATCTAGGTTAATTTTATATATATTAATGAACCAACAGCCAGGTGCTGACTCCTGTAACTTCTCCTGAATAACATGAGTTCTCCATAAGTGTGCTACTTTTCAGATAGTATTTTAATGCTATTTCTAGTAGCGAAAATGAGATTAAATCAATCAATCAATCAATCAATCAATCATTAAGTGTCCCTGGGATTAGAAATAGTAAATGATATAGCTTTATGTACACCTATATTATTATTGTTGGTCCTTTGGAAACTAGAAAATAATAACATCTAGAAATCTAAGTAAATCGTAACATTTAAATACCAAGGTGGCTATCCGTTTATTCAGTTTTGTCTCAAACGCTGAAAACGTATGTCACAGTCGCTGATCCATACGTCAGAAGTGGTCGTTTATAATACAAATCTGCTCAGTATTAGTTTAAATAATGCTCTGACTACTTACTTAGTACCCTGTTAAACACCCGTTCCATGATTACAACTAAAAGCTCAACTAAAAAATAAGGCAGCGAAGAATCTAAATGTTTTGGTCATTCGTTGAAAAACACTTACTAAAAAGTGATATTAATGCTACCATAAAGAGTTCAAACGACTTGACACAGTTTGTTGCAAAAAGACATATCTTTTTGGTACAATTATTTATAGTAGCAGTAGTAGCTAACTTGTCTGGGCATTCATCTCTCAAACAGTAAGTTACACTTCATCACTAGAGCTCTTAAAAGTCAGATGGTATCACTAGAATCTCACCAACATATATTCATTACCATCTACTTTATAAACATTACTCGAATACTATCCTCTTTTAATTTATTTTACCTCAAAGACTTGACCAAATACGGTCATTATGCTAATTTAGTACCAACTGTTCTGTTTATTTAGACAGTAGTTCTCTTTGTCCATTTGTTACTAGACATAGAAAGATTCTTGAATATCTTGATGAGAGCTACTTCATAGATTATTTCAGTTGGCTGAAGCACAGATTTAAGCACATATCTAAAAGCATTAAGTAGTTGTCTGAATTATAACAACTATCCAAAAGTTCAAAGATTTCATGAATATTTATAGTATGCGTCAGGATTCAAAGGCTTTTTTTGCACTGCTATAAATTTATAAAAATTGACTTATGAAATTCAACCATTAACTAAGTTTCACTGTCAATGTGGAAACTTTGCTCATTAACTTAATCAGTTGGGTTTCAGTATTTAAGTCCCGCGTTCAAATACTGCACCACCCGCATCAGCCCGGGCAACTGGGTAGTGTTATCAGTCTTCACATTCATTAAAAGTGTGGCTTATAGTTCCATATATGAAAAGTCTTCTTCAAGTAGCTGAGATCAAACAACTAAGCTCTTAGTCACAGGGCTTCATTGGTAGTTGCAATGATGCAAGTTACTAATAGAACCTTTCTTGAATGGAAATACCTGTTAATGTATGGTGATATTACCTCAGAAACCACTGAATTGGTGATGTTATAAGTGGTGAGTGAACGTAAGATGAATGATTAGCTCCAGATGCGCAGTACTTAGCTGATGATTCAGATGTCACTGTTCCGAATCTCATGACGAGCTAAGTTTCCAGTATTTGACAATTCCATCAGGTATTATATAATCGGAGAACGAGTCTTAATATTACTTCATCTTATAATATTCGAATACTCATTTATTCTTAAACAGAAAAACATAAACAATGAATAAGACTTTTGCTAATAGCAACTTACATTCATCTATTTTCATACTAGATCTAATGAAATCAATCAATAATTCTGACGAACTGATAAGACCTTCACGATCCTGAAACATTATTTTGAAAATACAGTTGTTTATGAGAACAATTAAATAAGCAACGAACACACAGGATAATGAGCACTGACAAAGTGCGATTTAACATTCTTAAAAGTTCATTTTGCCACATCTCAAAATCGCACATCAGATTAAGCTTAATGTAAAAGGTAAATAACAGTTAAATGTTATAAGATTAAAGAACAAAGGATGAAGCAAGAAAAGATTCATTACTATTGGTTCCTTGTTTTCCTGGTAGAGCACAGTACTCCCTTAACACTTCTTCATTGCACTCGGTTTTCTATCATAGATTTAAACTGCCTCCAGGACGACTCACAGGCTTTTATCTCCTATTCACATCGTCTTCAGTTCAGTTTCAGTTTGGTAGGCGTGCGACGTCACTTGAAGGTCTCACAAGTGTATGTCCAATCTATTTCGATGTCCTAGTGCATATTTGTTGGGTAATAGATTCTTGCCTCAAGATTCGCTTCCAAAGTTCCTCTCTGACCTGCCATTCGATCTTCAAAATCGACTGTTTGAAGTGCTTTGGATGACACAGGAGCCAGTTCTTTTAAAAATGTGGAAGTAGTGGTTTGAAATAAGAGTTTCTTTTGCTAAGTACCGTGGACTAAAACAAAACTACTGCCCCGTACTCCACGCTTTTCAGTTTTCCACTGAATGAATTTAGTTTATGGTGTAGCTCTAAATTAGTATTTTGTCAACTGAAGAAGAAATTAAATTGTTTCGGTTTATACAACAGTTTATACAGAATAGGGAATTAGTTTTCCTGTTACATGTGTAAATTTTATTGATATCTTAACTTCATTACTAATAATATGTAATGTAATGTCAATAAAGATTATATTGTTAAAAACAATAATAACAATGCGAAATTATTTTATCCCATTTACTAGGAAAAAACAACATAAACATACATTATCGTCATATAGGCTTCGCCAGTGGTGAACTATTCTTGTATAAGATTTGTACATTTTGGCTAAATGTAACAGTTTTGTGAATTCTTCATCACCGAATTCCTTACGTCTTAATGATACAATGCTGATAAGATTAGTCTAAGGAAAACCAAGAGAATGAAATACGTACACTAATTGGATAATTAGTGATATATATGTGGTGAGAGTAGGCTAGCCAAAAATGATAGACAGCATTTTACGTCAATGGGTAAGTCGCAAATATTGGTGGTGAGAAAATATGAACAAGACTGATTCAACAACCAGTCACAGCAGACTTGGCGTATAGATTATATGACATCCAAGAAACAGTCACAAAGAGATGCAAAGTCAACTTTCTGTAAGACTGTTTGTCTGCTTGAATAAGCTATAATAATGTACATGAAATACATATAAAAATACGTGTTGATTTCCTTAATAAATGATCTGTTGCCTGACTCTTGTCTTTTGTCGTTACATATATATATATATATATATATATATATATATATTAAGGGTTAACACAAACCACAATCTTCCCGCACCTGATGTACAGTGGTTGAATAAATAAACAAATTTAGAAAATTCAGTGGTCTTCAAGCTACAGGTCCGATGCTATGGTGAATGTGCTACGAGGTGCAGTTATTAGTAAGGTCAGCTGTTAGATTTTCATCATGAAGTCACTGAAAACCAGAAAGCACAAGACAGCTGTTTCATCCTATTTTGAGACTTCAGCAATTTGCATCAACGACCACCCCCAAGCAATAGAACCTGAGACCTTCAGGTTATAAGACTAAGCCGATATTGGTTTGTGACAAAATATTTAACAGTTAAAATTAACCCAAAATCCCCACAAACCCTGCAATATGAATATCAGCCGCCAGTTCACCAATCACTGCTGGATAGATTTCCTAGAGATGCGGTGGAAAGTTGTGAACAGTAGAGTTCACCGCGTCAGAGTAAAATGGTTGCTCACCAAATGTATTGGTGAGGGCAGCAGTGTATCAGAAGTTAACAAATTTAGAGTCTAGGCGTCAATGAAATACAGTTCAAGTGTCTGAAAGGTTAACGAGATTCGCCTAGTATCGTGAAGGCCCGGGTTCGAATCGACTGGTAATCCCGATGACGCTGTTTCGGATCCTATTGCCACTCAGAATTTCATTTCACCTTCAATCGTTGACCATTACATCGATAACAGTCCGCCAATCTGTGATCATCTCAGATAGTCTCACCATCGAATAAAAACGTTAAGAGTAGTCCATTGCATTCTACTAAACTTTTTATACTCATCTTTAATGCACAAATGAAACCAGTTTCTATTGTAGTTTTAAGAAAAAATAGTGATGAAATCCTGACATTTTATCAGTTAAAAATCTCCTCTAAATATGCTTTAATATTTAGTATCAGTGTTATACTACAGGCTTGAAATTCTAAAATAAGGTAATATGAAGAAACACAATGAGTAACAGTCAAACCACCAGTATATCGAAAAAGAGGAAACGTAGTTATGGATAGCTGGGGAAAAAATTAACTCTAGTGACAACATATTTATGGCACTAAAATCAGAACATAACGATGTCGGAACTCCATTGGAACTCAACTATTTGGAACAAATTTCCCATTCATCGCGTGACGAGTCACACGTACTGTGTGTATGAGGGCCAGTGATGCCACCAAGTTGTCCGAGTTTAAGTACGTCGAACCTGGAACCAGTTTTGCTTGGAAATTAACTATTCAAGTCAATGAACCATATTCCCACAACATGGACAATTCCCTCATATGTAAAAATTTGCTTGTAAATGAGATAAAATTCGCTTCTGAGGCGAGGTGACCTAAATAAATTATTAGAACTGTTAAATGAAGTGTAAAAGGAAACGCGAGTTTAGATATTAATATCATTAAAAATAATTGCACACTATAGATAAGATTTCATTTTGATAAATCACACAGTGTTATACAGTAATATTAACTGATGACGTTTCGAGCAAAAATTGCTGCTCGTTATCACATCAAGCCACTCACGCAACTTTTTAACTTCATTTATGTACATGAGTGGAATTGATTTTACTCCACCACAGTGCCCAAGTTTTATCCTTATAATTGCACATTAGTCCCACTTAGTTCAGTTTTATTGATGACAAGTTATAAAATCAGAAGTTTAAAGAATATATTGCAGATTTTTAATAAAGATATGAACACTAGAGACAGAAACATCGTCATTCAATAATTTTTTAAAGAATTCATTGTGGAAAAATTATAATGACGTCTGGAAAAAAAGTCTGGAAAATCCCTCTTGAACAATCTGTTTAGAACACTGGTACTTATTTGGATACTTCGACTAACTTTGCAATTGTTATCCTCTTTTCTCCTAGGATATATCCAAATGTCGTACTAATCGCAGATCACCTACTGAATTAATCTTTCGTTTGTGTGTGATCCCTAATTTAATTGCTTCCCTATGCAGTCGTGTGATGGTGTTGATAATGTGCTGACTGTGATTGTGATCAAGGTTGAACGTGGGGATTTTGACCTTGGACTATCTGCGGGAAGTGTTTGGTATATTGGTATCTGACCTTTAGAGTTTTGATCCCTCCTTTTTGGGAATATTCTACTTGATTCTCAGGTACTTCTTACAGTTGAATTTTTGTTAGTCAGTTTTGTTGAGTATAACTTGTTTTGTATCACAGAAACTTGTGGATCTGTATGGTTGCCTAATGTCTTTGTTGAGGTCATTTTGAGTTTTGATATTTTATTATTGTTAAACAGCACCGCAGATGTCATTACAAATAACTGTCTTTTTGCTGTCTTAGGGACATTTTCGAAGTGGGCGTCATTGAATGAAGTTCTGATTAGCTATACAGTACGACGTAAAGATTGGTTTCCTGAGTTCAGACCACAAACTTGAAGGTTTGTGAAGCTGATGAAGTGAATAACAAGCAAAGTCTTTGAGATAAAGTAGACAAATTGAAGCAGTCTGTAGCTATCAGCCAGACCACCAAATAACCGAACATATTCAGTAATCTAGAAAAGTCACAATTACTACTATGATTGCAATGATATACAATTACATAAGAGAATTAGATAAGACAACAATCCTACTAAATATTATACTTTAAGATCAATCAGAAAATGTTTATTCACGCATACGATGCAGGTATTATTCAAAGCCAACACTGTAAATACGGATAACACTATTAACACTAAAACCGAATTATGAGGAACAAACAAATTATACTTGTGAGCTAAAACTCTAAGCATGATTTTAGAGTAATTATAAGCAACAAAACATGTTCAATATATCTATTATTATTGTGAGATGAAACAGAAACTGCATGGATAGTAATGCTGAGAATATCAGTATAATTCCTGGGAAAGAAAGATCCCAACTATAACTTATGACTCAAAGCTAGTTGTTTGATGGTGATTCATAAGTTGACATTTGGAGCAGTGGGTAGTGACTTAGATTTTGATTTTGTTCTGTTATCTGAGTTGGTTGGTTTAATTACCAAGATTTCGTTGTCCTAATAGACAACATCTTTAGCTCAAGATTCAGTACGAAATGAATTTCTCTGAATTCTCTATGAATGATATAATTTTACCTCCTAACAACCACTGTTGTGATTGATTTTCAGTTTACACTAATCATTTTCATTGACTTGAAATTTGAAATTTATTGTCGTGTGGTTTGTTTTTTACTTGTTAGTAAATTAGATCTACGGTAATGTGGCTGTTAAATGCTGATCCATCTGAGTACTGAGTACCCAGTTTCTGGGAATCCCTTGACATTTTTGGTTTTTCCTGTGATGGAACTTTCTCCCAATCAAATTGGTGTCCATGATTATCTTCAAGGAGTGATATGAGAGAATACATATCGTGTCTTTTCACAGTTAATTTATGTTCATGTGTTCTTATTCAAAGGGGACATCCACTTTAACCTTCGCATTGTTTATCGCAGTTTATACAACTGATTTTGTAGATGGTATTGATTGATCTTATCTTCTCAGTTGGAACACCATCACATGCATTTGAGGAATCCGAAGTAGGATGATACCTACCTCCTAAATGAGTAATGTTAATTCATTAACTCTGGTAGCATCGAGTCGTCTGTTCAAAAGTAACCAGTTCTATCATATGTGTATCAACGTGAAAACGCAAACTTGAATAAGAAAAACGTCAATTATTTACTTACTGGTAGTGATTTCACTGATGTGGTATAATTGATTGATGTCATTGGTAGAATATAATTATTTTGATAATAGTGATGGTAATCTTGACAATATAGATGATGAGTGATTTCGGTGTCATATCTCAGTGCTAAAAGATTTGACAGATCACATAGCAAAACAAGTTTATATACTGTCCAGCATGACATATGCAATACAATTAACCAGAAAGCCATTAATGCCATTAAATAATTGTATGTAACATTTGAATTATCTGAAAAGAATATGTAGTATGAGAGAAATAATGAACATAATCCAAATAAATAGGGTGCTGGCTTGGATCCCCCTCTCTGTGCGTCGGTGGTACAGTGGTTAAGACTCTCGCCGACCATGCACATGGTCCGAGGTTCGATTCCCTACCGACGCACACCTGATATCTATGGTCGGTCTGCAAAATTCGGTATACCGACAACACATGCTGAAAATTCCATACTTGTACCAAAATTACGGTGTGGAATCAAGCTGTAATCAGAAATAAATTGATATGCTATAACCGTATTTGTACATTATAATAAGGGTTTTTGTATTTCCCAATGAATGAAAAACAAAACAATATTGTTTTACTGACGTTTCGCTATTTAATACTAATAGCTTTATCAAAGTATAATAATACAAAAACCTTTATTATAATGAATATCATACGCCCAATGCCCAAATTTTTTCAGACCGTTAAACTTGGTTTGGTATGTTTGTATCCTAACAATTACTCACCATCACCAAAAATTTACATCTCGAATCAAATTCATAATTTACAAATTACACATTTTAAGGTAAAACTTCACTATATTTTGTCCGGAAACCGTAATTGCTCAGATCGCAATATATAATTAGTTTAATCTGATAAGTGGCAATCAAGAAATAAGGCATAGTTACATTATGCTTTACACTACTAGTTGATTGATTTATGTCGGGTACCAATCGCAAAAACAAGTAATGTTCCCTCGCCATATCAGAGTGATCTAAACACTGGATGTCCATTTCTCTTATTAGAAACCAAGTTCATCAGTGGTTCTAATAATTTAACTCTGCACAGAGAGCCGTGTCTCTCGAAACCATACGAATTCTGGCTAGCGAACTAGTAGTCCATGAGAGTTTGCGCTCACTTTAACATTGTTTGTTCTAACCTCATTCTTCTTGTTCTGCACACTAGCGTGACTGTTTTATTTCTGACCGTAGATTTATCTTGTTATTGCTTCTCTATGTGGCAGTGATTTGACCGGCAATCAGCTCAAATAATTCACGACTTGAGTGTTGTAATTCAAAAAATCTTGGGCCCTGGATTTTGTGATAACTTAGACGTTGGTTTATTCAGTTACAGCTTCATTTCGTGACTGTCATTATTTAGCTGATGGTAGCTGTCAGTGGAATCTATTGTGGGGTACACTTCTAGCCACCATCGGCCAAATAAACTTCAGACATTATCGAAATATCTGCACTTGAAGCCAATACGTCAAGAGAGATGAGACATTTCTGTTCAATAAAAATGCAATTTACCTACAACATTCATTCAGACATCTATAAAACACAAAGAATATCATTCTCGGTAATTTCCTCTTTTGGCTCTACAATTGTATATATGTCTATAAACATTGAATATTCTAGATTAGTATTCAATAGCAATATTAGTGTTTTTTAAATAATATCAATTTGTAAAGTAAGATCAATGCGATTATAGTTCATTAAAGACGCTTAAATAATAATAATAAAGATATAGTAGCGAATAGAATATCAACTAAAATTAGGAAAATTTCACAGAAATTGAGGATCATTCAAACCTAATGGCCGAGGTGAGGATAGTGTCTGAACTAACTTCTTTTGGACGCACAAATTAGGCTTCCTAATAGGGATCCCACCAGTCTCAGAAATATTTAGTAATCAAACTCTTAAGGCGAAATTGAGATTTGTTGGTATGCGGTAAATGACTCTGAAAGCCTGGTTAACATCAATCTTGTGTTCTCTATCCACAAGATTAGATAGAATAGCGCTACGAATAGATTTTGTTTGTCCTTTACCTAACCACACAGGGTAATGCAATTAATAAGAAATAGAAAATAAGTTAAACAAATTTTAAACAGCATTCTGGATTTCTCAGAAAAATCTACAGTTATTTTGATAAATAAATGCGCACATGAGTTAACCGATGTATGGATTTACAAGACATAAACACTGGAAAATTAAGAAACATTCAACATCTGTTACCATGTTGCAGCTTTTGTGTCCACATTAAATACATACCAAAAACTGAAAATTCACTCCTGAGTGAACGTAGCTGCTTGACGTAACCTAGAACCACTCTAAGGGCGCTTCTAAAGCCCATACACTTTTTATTACGGTCACAGTCCAGTAACTTCATAATATCGCTCACCAAATCACACAAAGGAGTAAAGAAACCGGCCCCGATAGACCAGTATGTGTCCGCTCTTGACTGTCTGACTCCCTCCACAGATCCCGAAATGACTTCGCCCAGAAAAGCATACTAATTTACTTAAATATCAACAACAACCTTTTTGTCAGGAATGATGATACTATCCAGTTTCCTAGGCTGGGGAGATGGGAAGGGACCCGAACCTCAGGTGCACTGGATAAAGTTCCGGTTCTTAAGCCAATGGGCCACCTCTACACTCACTTAATCAAAACTCTAATTATATGAGATGTATCTATAAAAAGCAGGAGTGAAAAACTAAACATCATCGATAAAAATTATGTAAATGAAAAGCGATGTATTTATTTGGGATCAAAGACAGCACAATTACCGAACCTTCAGCATATGCATAAAACCGTTATTTAAAACACCACTTTATTTGGGGGCATGAATCACTAACATACACACAAATAAATAAATAAAGCATCCTGTAAAGTTTTATTTAAACGTAATTATAAGGAATTCGTTATACTATTGAATAAACAGCCTGTCATATCTGCTTATTTTAGAAAACTTCGGGTTTTCTGTCTTTGAAATTTCACCTGTAAAATGTTTGAACAGAGCCAACTTTTATTAAAAATGCGTAATATTTTGTCTAGAGAAACTGTGAACTGCTTAAATGGCATTTTCTCCGGGAATGACTACAGTACTCTTTGCAAGCAAAAGTTTATGTTTCAGCTTAACTGATTGGAAATGATACTATATAAGAAGAAAAGAATATCTGCAGGGTGATATTTTCTGCTAAAATGGTCCATTTTTTGAAAAACTTTCTTTTCTTTTAGACATAGATTCATTTTATGAAGACTTCATTTTTTCTATTGGTTACTAATATCCTGTTACCAATCAGATCACTGCAGGCAATCACTGAGAATTTCTAGGTTATATAAAGTGAAGTGCTGGTCACTTTCAGTTCGCTACTCATATGACTGTCGATACAGCCTAGTAGACTGCAAGCAGCCTGAACCCATTACAATAACAAAACTACTGTAAACGCTAATCACAACGTCAGCAATAATACAATCTACACCCAAAAAGAGGTGTACATTTAAGACAAGATTGGATTTACTTTCACAAACCACAGTCAGCACTTGAAAACAATGTTGCATACGCTGGTTCTATATGACAGTGAAAGACAGTCTGACCTTCACAAGGAGCTGGAAATACAAAAGATACCTTAGATGGCAGTAACTAAAAATACTATGGTTTTAAGGTCATAGTAAGAAAATTAGACTGAACTAGGAACATAAAATGCTCATTCTTCAAAACTCACTATAAATTTCAATATCCAGCATAGTTCTTGTTTTCCTTCCATCAGTAAATGTAAATACACATTCAATGAAGGCATGACCAGATTTTGGATATGTTGAAAAGCCTGTTGGCGGTTTAATCACTGGATGGTTGTGGGAATTATCAACAGATATTAACCTCTCAGAATTTTTCTGCGGTATACATTTTAAATGTCCTCTTGAATATAATGTTTCAGTCGAATCCCAGGTAGGATACATGTTATTGTTTTTTGATCACCGACTCGTAACTCAACATTTGGATGTAAGATAATGTATAATTCTTAAATTACAAAAAATAAACTACGTTTAAAATATGCAGGAAATTAGGAAGTATAACCTATGATGGAAGGCAAAATGATGGAGTAACTCTCAAGAAACCACATCAGTTTCCACTTGAGATAATCATATTAATAATGGTACTAATAGTAAGCAAAGTTGTACTTAGACTTAGGGCCAAGTTAAAGCACATCGATCCAGGGAGAGAACGTACCAATGGCCCTGAACTCATACTATTCATCGCCATTATAATAGCGCCACTACGGACACTATTCACAAACTGAGGTGAAAATTACATCAAGATTTCTTTTTCAAGTATTGTTCAGATGATGGAATAACACCACGTAGGTGCAAACGTTTTGTGGTGCTTCCATATATATCCAGTGGTGTTCAGAAGCAAATGATCAATATGTATTTGGGTGTACACAGTGTAGGGAACAAATTAGTTTTCGAAATCATAAATTACACATTGAGTCCATTAATTTCTGGGAACTTTCTTTTCTGAAGCGAAGCTGTCGCTGACAGATATACTTTTTATCCTCCATTATTGAGTACTGAATACTGAGTTGATGTCAACCAACGTATAGACAGAGAATTCATTAATATCTGCTGTTTAGTAGTGTCACTATAGTGTAGCATCATGGAAGATGAGTACAGTCACGCAGCTGTTGGGAGTAGTAGGTGTTATTGTTTATATTGATGAAACCGCCCTCATATAGAAGAAATGTAATCACTGTCGCCCCAGGGCGAATAGTTTTTGGATTTTGAGAGTTTAAGATATTAAAATTCATAAACGAACTGTGGAAGTACTTTTAAATGGTAATGCGGAGACTCTTCTACCTTTCACACAAAAGCTAATCATGCCTGATACAGACGATAGGACATATAAAATTGGTTATCAGACCTCGGTTTCATCCGTTATCGAGCCAGTCATCCAGAAAGTTTTGTCAACGCCCTCACCGGAACCCACACTGATTCAGCCATCACGTCAGGGAAAATATCCTATCTAATGTGTTTTATCCTCTGTAAATCTTTTGTAAATAAATGTCTTATATGTAAAAAACACAGGTTTTTGTGATTCAACGCCTCAAAATACCCAAATTCTACACATATATTAACGATGTCCGACAATCTCGGCCATAAAAATGAATATACTAGGTGGTTAGAGGTCATCAGCAGAGAGCTGTGGACCAAGATGTAGTGAGTGTTAGCAATCATCAGAATACCGTATCTCAAACCTCAAAAGAGATTATGGCCACGCTGAAGTTCAAACCTTTTCATAGGACTGACTTCATGTATGAGTGTAATGACCAGTCATGATCACTGAGATGGTGAATCACCCAGCCTTGAGATCATATTTCAAACTTAACTTTTGCCCAACTTAATACTATATCAGTCGACATTGCCCAAGGAGGAATGTGATGACTGTGAATGTGTAACACACGTCCTAGCTATCTCAAAAGATGTAGCTTCACAACCTCACTAATAAACTACCCCTCCTTTCTTTTGGTCAATACAAACACTAAGGACTTGATTTATTACACTGACTAAGCCCTAATAATCAGTCAGTATGAAAGAATTTATTAGAAAAAGTGAACTGATTGCTTATTTCCATTAAATGAAATACAAATATATTCATTTATTAACATTTATAGGTAGGTTAAATTAATATAATTACAGTGGTATATATATTAGAAAAGAAAAATATTACAGTCGCAGACAGATAGAACAATTTCATCCATCGAGTGGAAACTAATTCCATATTACTGAAAGTAAAATGAAAATCTGGGTTATGACAAGATTCTAACCAGGATCCTGTGAACTACTAGTCTCGTGTAATACTAGACGACTTAAAAGGCCCAGCTGCCAGCCGGGTCATCATTTCACTGCAATAAAAACGGGTAGCTCCCAGTTGGACAGCAGGTGGATGTTGCAGCTCAACTGATAGGGAACTAGACAGTGACTCAGAAGTCGCGTATCCTGCCAAAAATTAGAATTTCACCTCATTACATCGATAGCAGTTTGCCAAACCAAGACCACTTCACAAAAATACACCATCTGAAAAAAGGCCTAGTGATCGAGTACTAACTACAGGGTGACATTTCAAGCACAGTTTATCCCCCAGAAGAATACCTTTTGGCATCCTTATCTAAAAAATATTAACTGACCTTTCACTTTCATAGATTTCGTAAAGGTGAAAATTTTTCCACCGATTCTATGCTTTGAATAATTGCATTCTATTTCAATATCAAAAGGCTTAGAGTAGAAATTAGCTTTCTCTGATGGTTTAATAAAAACACTTCCATTTTGTGATTCAAAGTTCACATAGTTTTTTGATCCTCTTACTACACGAGCTGTCCAATAACCATTCAACTTAGACTCTATATTTCTAGGTAATAAACCACACATTAAATTTGGTCTAGAACCAACATAAATTTGAACATTTTCAGTGCTCTGTCCATCTAATGTTCCCAGCATACTGTCTAAAGTAAAAGTAAAAAGCCAGAATAAACAGACAAATCAAAATCTAATCAAAATTTTAGTAAATTCATGGTTATTTATGAGAAGAAGGTACTTTATAAAATCAAAGCAAAGGTTATCAGGAGATACTATTTTATCGTTCATGGAGAATTCGAATAAATTCACTTTAGATTAAGACTTCTGCTGAAGATGTTGTCTAGAAAGAATATGAAAGTTACGCAACCAAATTATGCAGCTAAGTGAACGCAACGACATCAAGTTTACGTTTTAATCCAAGTCTGAGTTTCAACGCAGAACTTCGCACAGGTCACAACAGTTCCAGCTTCATAAAACCACACAAATGGAGATGGAGAAAAAAACACAAATGAATGGGAAAACGAATAATTACAAAGAGAGTACTAAGAATTTAGTGCATAAATGAGTTCATATAGAGTGAATGCATCTACACCTTTGAGGATGAACTTGAGACATGTCACCAATAATCTTCAACCGCTGGTTCTTAGAGTCTCAAAAATGCCAACCAGAAAGGCAGTCTACACCTCTCTATATGGCACAAACAAACAATTAAAGACTTCATAGACTGATATTAGGTTTTGATTCGACCACTCGTAATTCCTTTCGGACCCAATCCTACATCAGCTGACAATGCTGGATGGGGGAGGCTATGACTTTAAATGTGTAATACGTGCCCTAGCCATCTCAGTCAATGTGGTCACACAAACTAGTCGACTGACTCTCTCTCTCTTTCTTTACACCATAACTTCATTATTGCTCACCAAATTATACCACCTAACACAGGAGATAGAACACCACCAAAACATTTCTAAACGGTAAGCAATAATCAAACTGTAACTAAGGTAGTAAGGAATAATAAGTTTAGACTATTGGTCGAGTAATGCGAAAAACTGTTTATAAAACTTTGAGTTTTCATGGAAACAGCATAGGGATAAGTGGAGAGAGTGAAAGAAAGAATAACCGACAGAATGATATCAACAGTTATACTACCAAAAGAAATACAGAAAAATAATAGTAATGAACTACTGATAACAGCTGGGCTTGAAATCAAATAAATGAAAATAATCCATCCACATGATCATGCATATCAGTAGTCACTGGAGGCTTTATGCAACAGATTGTTCATTCTGTCGTAAAAGATCTCGATACTACCTAATTTTGATGTAGACTTCGTCTCGAAGCAATATCAGTTTTATGACCTCTGAAATACAATGAATACCCGTCAGCCATTTCTCCTTAGTTCCAAATCTTTTACTGGCCAAGTTAAACTTTAAGCACCTCTAACTGCCAATCAGCGAACGACGTCGAATTGTCCAATTAGATTCGCGAACGTTAGTTCAATGTTGTATAGCGCCTGATTCATTTCAAACGCGTGCCTTAACAAGGTTATGGTTTCCATTCGAAGAGGATAGCGTCTTCCAGTATTGCCTGGATTTAGGCTTGCTTCGGAAGGAGAGAACTTTTTCGTGTTGTGGTGTTATGACTTTGAAAGCATTAGCAGGTCGACTGATGAGTATGCCTATCGTTGTGCAATTTGTTTGAGACGAGTCAGCATTAGAGAAGTTAAGCTGATAATTTTAATATTACGTAGGAACCTTTTCTGCAAGGTCGCATCTCTTCTTAACGCACAGTTTGTATATTTGCAAATACTGGGTCTTGAAACAGCTGGTAAGAGCCGCAAATGCTGAAACCGAGAATAGCCTCGTTTCAACAGTTCAGTGGTGTCAGGACTGCAGAGATATTGCATCATGGAAAATGGAGAAAATTAATTCTTTGTTGGCTGCAGAAGGCATCGTTGTGCACGTGGACGAAACTGTGTTGCAGAAGAAAAAATGCAACCACGGTAGTCAGCGAGCCAACAATATTTGGGTAACTGGTTTATATGAACCTCCCTCTGAAAGGGATTCTTGGAGAGAATACCAGATAGAATGGTAACTACTTTAATACCTATTATTACCAGACTTGTAAAACCGGGATCAATAATACACACGGAAGAATGGAAAGGTGATGATTCCCTGTCATCTCTGTGATATATTCATCACAGAGTCAACCATTCAAGTGATTTTATAGATCCCGTTACGAGGACACATACAAGTTCTGTTGAAGTATTTTGTGGCTGGTTGAAAATAGAATAAGTGCTATAAATGGATCTCAAAAGGATTTCATTTATATTCATTTTGATGAATATATTTACAGAATAAGGTGTAACTTTTCTACTGACAATCCTATGCCTAACTGGGAGATGTTTCTCTCACATGTTAGGGAAAGATACCCCCTGTAACAGTTTCACCCTTTTTATGCTTTTTTCTGTAAATATACGTTTCTCTTTATCATGGATACCTCTTTAATGTGATTGATCCGTTCAAGGTCGTTTGCTAATTGGTTGTTAGTGGTGTCGAAAGTTTAACTTTGTCCAGGATTGAAACTCAATGCCTCGTGGATTATAACTTACAATAGTTTGTGATATAACGCTACCACCAACTGTCGTCAATGTCCAACCATTTCACTATGATATGGTGGGTCCCATCAACTATAGCTTCTCATAACAGCTTAAGAACATCCATTTTGTAGCCACCAATGAGCTGGAAATTAGTGTTGAGAATTTAGGGCCTTGTCGAGATTTGAATCAATTTCAATGCGTCTTTGTTTTCTGTGACTCTCTAAGTGTGTTGACTAGCGACAAAATCTACACTAAAATTAATTTAAAACTCTACAAAAGGGAAAATCTGGGAACTACCTAATTGCTTAGATTTCAACAGATGAAGAAGCATTTCAACCTATGATCCTTGACTTCCCACTACCACTAACTGTTTGTTTGAAAAACAGCTATAGACTGAAAATGCAAAACAAATATAACTAATATCATAAAAAACTATATTTATTTTTGTTTCAAACCAAAACATGTGAAAATTTTCGCCTTACCTAATATCTCGAATGTTTTCCTAAATTTTAAAATCACTTCATTATTTGTATTTCTCTTTAGTATGCACTGGATTTGAAGGTAGCCTTTCATTGTATAATTCAGCGAATTTTCTGGTGGTCCGATAACAGCTTGTCTGTAACACTTCTGTATAGATATTAATGTAGATTGACCTCTGACAACTTCAGCTTCCCAATAACCCATTAATTCTATTTTAAAGTGGTGTGGTAAAAGACCACATTTGAATTTTTCACTTGAACCAACACCCACAACGACATCAGAAGTGTCTTTACCATTCAATGTACCCTCCCAATCACCATCTAAAAATCTTAATACCTTAGAAGTAATGCAGTTTAACATAATATCAATAAGAATATTACAACACCTATTCATAATGAGTCTCAATCCCATCCATCGTATGATAAGTTTACTTAAGTTTAATGATCATACTACATTCATACCAAAAGGAATTTCATTATCAGATCAGGCGTTTACCTCGATTTGGATAAAAAGTACCTCTACTGTGCGACGTGAGCTATTTCTTACTGCTGATTGGTGTCAGTAGTGTGTGACATGAAACAAAAACCATCTCCATGGTGAAAAAACGTCTTCCCACGGATTACTAGAACAAAGTGCCATGATTGATACAATGCAGTGGGCATCATTTTCTCAATGCACAAGTGAGTCTTGTGGCTTAGGTGGCCTGGATTTTGAGGCAATGGGTGGTCGTTAGAGGTCTCAAAAGGAACACCACTGTTTGCTGAAGACTGTGGGCACATTCAGCTGACGAGTCTTACACAGGGAGAAGTACTCATCCTGGACTCACTGATAGTTTCCACTCACCAAAGACGTCATGTTAATCCTCAGACATCGTCGAAGAGTCCGCACTAGCAGCCTATTTGTCAGTAGAGACCGAAGATTTCAGTTCAATATAATCAACCAGCAGCAAGTATAAAATTAATTTTTTTAAAGTGCCACTTCCTTTAGTGCAGAACAACACTGCTTTTTATCTCAAGGATGTTGCCTTACTGCTCAGTAGTGTCAAGCCATTTTTAAATAGTTTCAGTAGAGAAACTTCGTACTTATTAACTGAAAAGATGATGAGTTACTATCAATTGCTTAAATCATCAAGACCTACTCTTTATCTTGCTTTGAAGTAGGATGCATTAATCAAACTACCTTGGATTAGTGATCTTAGTTGCCTGTTACTTAAACAAAGACTGAACGCCAACACCATGTCTTTATAATTGTACACCACTTGATCAGAAACATAAGTTATCTGAGGTCTTGCAGCTTTAAGGAACCCTTTGAAGTTTAAAGTGTGCAATTCTGGGTTTAAACAATGAATACTTACCTACTATGTATAAAGTCTTGGTGAATATAAATTCTGCATAACGATAATCCCTTGAAAAAGAACACTGAATTTGAACTTGGCCTATATATACATAGGCTTCATCACACCTCTTTGGCGTAATATATACATTACCATTATTATAAACTAATGAAACAATGTCCTTCTTATCACCAAAAATCTCTGCCTTCCAAAATCCACCGTCTTCTTTAGGAATCATACCACATTTAAATATTTCACTTGAACCAACACTTACAATTACATCAAGGTCATCAATACCGTTAAGTGTTCCCAGTCTTCCAGTGTCTAGAACATGTCCAATGAGAAAATGTGCTGATTACAGTCATAAAAATGCATACATAATATACTGACATTAACTCAACTAATAAACAGTTTGCTGAAGAAGTGTAAGTTCTAGAATCCCTTTGGTTGTGAACTCTTCAAACCTATCAATGAATCAAGTGCTTGTAAAATTCCTTGAAAACCTATATATTCAGAATCACTGTCAAGCACCTGGGCTGTTGTTGATAAAAGTGAAAACCCTCTTGTCAACGGTCGATCTCCCATTAGTGCTTTCATGTGTCCGTCGTACTGTTGTTTTGGTAGTGATAACTAACGCGGTGAGTGGCGAATACAACAGTTTCTCATTAGGCTACAATCTACTAGATCATATTACCAAACATATCACATTTTTGTGTTTAGCTCAAACGGCTGAAGCAATAAATTAGAATGAAGATAGAAAATTGAAATATGAGGACACCAATAGTTGGTATTCACAGTGATATACTTTTTGTTCTGACAGTCGAAAATATTGCACCGTCTGTTTGTTTACGGTGGAACTGAATAGGTGCTGCTTAAAGTGACTGAAGACAAAAGTGCAATGAAGTGGTTAGCTCTAGCGAACTCAACAATAAGCACTACCATTTACACACCATCAGAATTTATTGTGACCAGATTTTTTAACTATGGAATTACCGGTATAAGAAACCACGTCATTTTTTCTTCAAACACACCAAATAAAATTTTACACAATTTCAGAGGTAAATTGTTCACAAGCTCAATCACTAGACACCTGACTCACACTAGACAAATAGCTAAAATCAGTCAGTCACTGAAAAAAATCGATAAATAGAGAAAGCCATAGTTACTTCGTTTTGCTAAGCCAATGCTGTCAAACGATTTCACCCCAACCAATTCACACTGAAAGACCGCGGTAACTGGATATGTTTTCGTTGAGTAACTTTTCATTTTCATCATCTCAAATGTGGGAAATATGATAGTTAAAGGGCAGTCAAACAAAAAACAAAAGTCACCTATAAAAGCTCATTTCTTTTCGCAAACTACAAAAAATGAGAGTGGTTGGATCTAAGGTGCTGGCTGGTAATGACTTTGGGTAATATCATGTAGTTTGGACAAAAAAAGAACAAACACACTTATAGGATAAAAAGAGTTTATCCTAATTTACGGTTTTTATTCAGCTGCTAAGAGGTCAGACATCACATAATTTATTTCAAGTTAACCTTTTGTAGTTTACGAGTCGGTCATAAGCCCGGTAAAGTGAAAAAGGTGTTCCTGAATCTAGGAATCACAACCCGTAAAAACAATCACATTACCACTGAAACTTAAAAGAACAGAAGAAATAAACTTATTGTCTGATGGAATCGTGGAGGATGGATGATACTATCTAGTGGAAAGTTGTAGGAAGACAGTCGACCAGTGTGTCTTCTTTATATAGATGCAGAAGTAGATATAGGGACATGAAGTATCCACATGTGGTTTGAAGCTGTGAAGGTTACCAGATTGCGAAAGAAATGGGAAGATATAAAGTTGAAGTGCTAAAAATCTGTAAGAGTAGATGAAAAGGAAACGGACTGTCCGAATTGTTAACTGGAGAATCAATAATTTCCTCTGGTCACCTAGATGACAACCACCGACAAAGTGACGATGTTGCAATCATGGTGTCACCAACAGCATCGAATGCCTTCATGCAGTGGATACCTATCCCTTCCAGGATCATGATAGCAAGATTCAACTGATAAGGAGGAAAAAGTTGAAACTGTACATTACCACTCACCTATAAAAATTGCAGAATAGCGGAAGAAGGAAGACTTCTTCAACCATCTGCAAATAGTAGTGGACAAGACCGCAAGCCAAAGGCTACATCAAAATTTTTATGGGTGATATGAATGACAGCCAAACTGAAAGCAAGTAACAAAGGAAGAGAACTCACGATGGGTTGAGTGGTTCTCAGTGAAATGAATGAGGACGGAAAGATTCCTGTAGACTTTTGTGCATTTGATGGTTCAGTGAGAGGATGCAGTGTAAACAAGTATAATGATGTACATAAGACGACGTGTGTTTTACCAGATAAACACGCCAAAAATCAGCCAGATTTCATCTCAGCCTCATGAAAATGGAGATGCATCCCGCTAGACAAGAAAAGGAGAAGAGGTGAAGATTTACGGTCAGACCTGTATCTCGTGCAAGGAACCTTCATAGTCATATCGAAAGCCTTCAAAGATACTGAAGACAGACAGCAATCAGGTTCAACACAAAGAAACGTAATTGCAAAGCTACAGAGGACAGTCTCACAGGAGTCATCAGGGAATTGTTAGAGACATCAAGCTACATCATCTAGCGAACTTATGTGGGATAACAGTGGAACTCTCTGAAGCCGATATGGAAAGAAACCTTTATAGATATCTTTGTCAAAAAGAAAGACTGTGGACACGGAATCTGATGGAAGACAGGATGATGAAGCAGAAGATGAACCATAATAGAAATGAACAACCAAAAGAGAAGCTCAGTATAATCCAAAGAGTGGTTAACAAAGTAGTGAAAAGCGCTAAGAAATACCAAAAGTGAGAAATGACAGAATTCAGAAGTCATGTGTCATAGAATTCCGTTCCACAAAGTCAGAATGGTCAACGAGTTCACCTCGTAACCCGAATGCCTTGAGATAACGGTGGGAATTGTTGAACAGCCCCAAACTAGGATAAAGTACTCCTTGATTTCCAATGCTTATCTTAGTAATGCCAATTTGTGATCCATTTTGAAATATTATTATTCACCTGTTTATTTATCTATTCAACATAAAAAATAACAACAACTGAAATACAAATCAGAAAATTATCTACCGTAAATTATCAGTTTTGTTATCCCACTCCTTATGAATTCACCAGTATTCTCATTTATTTGTTGCGTTTGAAATATCACTTCACCTGATTTATCATATTTGCCATAAGGTGAAATAATGATACAATGTAATTCATAACTATAAGACAGTAGATCACTGTCATTATTAAAAGTTACATTCCACTTGAGATTTTCTCCTTTTTTCAGTGGAAATGAAAGTATTTTATTACTATATAATGGAATATAATTAGACTCCAAATATACCACATCAATAGGCTGCTGAGCTGTAAACGAAAAATAGAAATAAACGCACTAACTATTCCTTAACTTACATATACGAAATTCATTTAAAATCATAGGAAACACTGTAGGTAACTGTTATGGATGAAACAGGAGATGTTAAGTTTATGATAGAGTATTAACACGACAATATGCCTCACTTTATCGTATCTGAGATCCACCATGGCACAGACAGTAAAATTGTAAGGTTCATTCACAGAAACAAGAGGCTTGAAGTGTACTTTAAAACCTTTTACTTCATAAGTTAGGAGAAGGGATTGGTGAGAATACCGTCCAATCATGTGAGGAAGCTAAACTCAGAGATAGAGGTTGAAGAAGGGTTATATGTTACGGTGAAATGCATATGTGAATTTTGTCACTTTTCTCAAGAACATTCGTGTGATTATACTATAAATAGCTTGTACTTTTAACACAATATTTGAACTACTTACATTATTCCGCACTAATGTTACTTATAGTTTCTATCGATAACTCTTCTCAGACATGATAAAAGTGTGTTCAAACCCTGTTCTGTAAGTTACACGTTTTGTATCATTTAGACTGTAAGCAGTTGAAAAACATTGGCGCAATGATAAAAAATAACTCATATTATACTGCTACATATTTTGTTCGTACTTTGTTTAAGGTTATTAATGGTAACATCGTAAAGCCTTAGATTTCACTTAAGTGGATTTTACTCCAAAAGCTTCATTCGAAAATGATTCATACAAATAAAAAGCTACTCCATATCTGAAGAGAAATCTGATTGAAAAAGAAACTCTTCAGATCTTAATATTAAAATTGAATATGTTTAGCCGTTATCTGGCAACACGGTGTCACATCACTGACTGACTGTCATTCTAGTCTTTCTAACCAGTATCTAAGCTAGCGAAAATTTAAGAGGTATGTGGGCCTCTATAACAGGAGTTAGAGCCTCAAAATTACATTGCCCTTTTGAAACCGACCTCCACTATTTCACAACACACGCAACTGCAACTGTGAATTAATTGCCTCACAAAAAGTAATCCTACCAGTATAGTGGTAATCATATACTCAGAATCCCCAGACAGTCTCTCACAGGCAATATACCCAGATGCTGTATATCCAATCATTGGTAGCCAGCGTAACATCGTGACCGTGAGGCGGATTAGCACATGCTGTTTAGCTTCAGCAGTCGATGGGAAACCTCATATGGCAGGAAAAAACTAAGTAGACAAATGAAATTCTCGACTATTTCTAATAACTCAGGTGAAAAGAAAGGTGTTTCATGGATTTCATAAACTCTGTAAAACGTAATTTGAACTTTAAAGATTCAAACACTATACTGTACATACACTGATTACTGACTGGTTAGATACTATTTTGGAAGGCTGTATGTCATTTCACGGTGAAAAACTGTTTCGTGAATGCTCAAGTTCGAACAGCTACCCTCTAAGTAGTAAATTCATACTACTCATACCCACACCCTTTACAACTACCTTGAAAATTTGATTGAAGTTTCGAACGATACTCTTATGGAATATTGGGGATTAGTGGTCATATACTATCTCTTCACGCGACGTGTTTGTGTATATGACTTGTAAGAAATTATAAGAAATTATTATAAAACCCTTCTTTTTCAGAAAAGTTATGACAGCAGTTCTGTTTAAAAACCCTCACTTACAAAAATAATTCTAAACGTCGGCCTCAGATACCTCTGCTGTTATTCGAACCATGAAAGGATAAGGGATAAAATAAAATTCCTGTGAAAACATTTGGCTGAAACATCTCATTGACAAGGGGATAAGGGGAAATACCGATTTCCAGAATTCCGAAAGAGTCCCAGAAAACGTAGAGTTCCACCCACTATTGCTACTGATAGATAGCATTGCTCTTATCCAATTGCATTTCTCAATGCTTAAAAGGGTGGTCGTAGCTCTGTCAGTCTGTTTTTTTAGGTAACTTTCCTTATAAAGACATTCCAATTTCAGTTTTAGAGGAAAACGCAATTGTATCCCATCAAAAATACAATCATAAAGTTTCATTTTTTATCCTTATGAGGGTGCTCAGGCTAGTCCATTTCAATCTCTCTGAAAGTGGGTCAGATACAAGCTTCTACTTATCCTCACACTATATCATATTTCTGGGAGAATATCCCTAGCTAAAATCCCTAGTTTCAATTTATTTAGAAAATTAACCGACTTTTAGGATAATGGTGTTCAGTGAGTCTTGATTCAGCGCAAGATTAGTAATGCTATTACCCTGGCATCTGGCGGTAAATCAGCATATAACTCTGAGTATGCGCTGTGGACGAATACCGAACTAGTGATTCGAATTATTCCAAAGCCCGGCAACAACTCCTTTAAAATCTAGATTTCTAATTGGAAAAAATCGGATGCCTACAGAGATTCTACCTAGCACAGAAAACCCACAACTATTCAGTATGCTCTAGAAACTTATGAGTAGGTGGCCAAGACCTAACAGTGGAGTTCTGTTACATCATAAGTGAATATATATACACATAATTACCGAAAAGACCCTCAAGTGGCACCAGACGCCACGTTCTTTTGTGGATCGTGAATTGAAAGCAACTAAGTTGTCGTCCGACTATGACATGGAGGAGATTATGTAAAGGGAAAGCTTTTGCGTAGTCATGGGTCCAGCTAAGGAATAGATAGCAGAAAAGAAAATACACTGGTGACATGTTACTGAAGCCCTATGTTCCAATCGGAACCCAAGGAGAGAATAATAATAAATATAAAGTTAGGCAGGGCAAATTTTCATTATAAGTATTTCTTACTCATATATATTATTGTTCCGGTATAGGAAAAAATATATTGATGATCCTTTAAATCTCGAAGAAAACATTCAATTAGTGCTGCTCCAACATTTTTCACTTGAAATGTAACACCATTAAGACTTTTATTCAAATATAAAACATTAGTTGATTGCCAGATTATTCGACCTTCTAAGTAGTTGTTGAAGGTTCTGTCTAAATAAGGTGATAAAAGGCCACAGTGAACCGTATTTGTGTGTGACGTATTCATTATTGATAACCATTGTTCAGGTTGATCATTTAAAGAGCCTTGCACATCACATACTGTAAACAAAAATTAAAGAGATTGTAGCACACGCCGAATAAACCCGAATACGACAAACAAAATACACAAAGAACGAATAAAATTATTCCTTACTTCCACATCGAAATTCAAAGTCAGATTACTATTAACCAATTCCATTTTGCCAGCAAATAAGACTACGTGGCCAGAGAAACATTCCTTTCATGATTCTGTTTCATCTTTTTGTCTGGTGTTTTAATCTACTACTATTTTATAATAATTATTATTATTCCTTTTAAAATAAAGACAGGACTAAGTCAAGGCTGTCTGCTATCATAGATAATATTCCTGACTGTAGTGGACTAGATCAGTCAACAGACTGTTGGAAGTGAGAAGACAGTAATAGGCTGAACCGATAAGAAGACTGTAGAATATCTGGACCTTGGGGATGATTTAAGTCAAATGCCACACAATCTCGAAGATTTACATTCGAAGGAGAATACGTCAACAGAGGAGGCTCACAGAAAATTCAGGACTTCTACTGGACATACGGAAGATAAGGTGAAGAATATAACTAGCCATTTACAATCACCACTAACTGTCATCAAAAGAAATTTGAAGGGAGTCGCCTCTTTTACTACCCTAGTCATTGCCATTTCACCTACATGTGGCATATATAAGGATGCTAAAGATAGGATCTGGAGAGCAAGACAAACTTTCATCAATCTGAAACTAATGTGGAAGTCTACTGCATTCAGCATAAGGAACAAGATTCAGATTTTAAACACCAGTGTCAGGACAGTAATTCTGTGTGGTCCAGAGACTTGTGGTACTCGTCAAAAGTATTTTCACAGGCCAATGCAGACTTTCAACAACAGCTAATCTCCTAGCTCTTTACGGAAGATCAGATGGCCATCAAGATTTAGCAATAGGGAACTCTGGCAATGAATCAACCAGGAACCTTCAACCCAATAGATTTTCAGAAGGAAATGGAGAGTGAATGGAGAGTGTTGAGTGAAATCATGCATTAGGCCCTCGAATGGGAATAGACAAGTTGAACGATGACCGAGGGAAGACTTGGAAGAGATCATGTGAAGAGGAAATGAAGGCTTTTGGGCAGTCATGAGGCCGGCCGGAAAAGAATTCAGAGGGCAGAGTGAAATGCAGATATGATACTGGAGCTTGTGTTTTACTATGAACACAACAGACTAATAAAATAGTTAATAATATCACATTTCTAACTGAGATTTTACGAGAATATTTTACCACTTTTCTACCCCCTAATGTCCATTCCATATATTTAGCTTGCTAAGGCCATTTTTGCAAACTCAGTAGGTAATATCAACTTCCACTTCCTAATCCCTGACAATTCAACAGAAACGAAACATTGCTTTCCAATATAATGAATCAACGGGAAAAACAAAATCAGCCTAAACAAATATGACTTAAATTATTGTTTAATGACTTCATTTCATTAGAAAACGTTACAAATATGAGATCTGCTAGTGAAGCAGTCATAAGATTCGAATAAAATCACAAGGAATGTATTAAAAACTTACAGGCCCTTCTAAACGTTAACTAATCACTCTTATCACCCAAACTAAAACATAAAAACCCAGGCAAAATTATCAAAAGGATCACGAAACTTACAATCTACATTCAGCTTCTTCCTGAATTCAAAGTATTTCTCGTGACTGTTACGATCATGGAAAACGCATTCAACTTCAGCAACTCCGGGAATGTCAAAGAGGTTCCTGCCTTCTGGTGGTAAGATAACAGCTTCGTCATTTTCTAAGCGTATGGATAGTATGTCATTTGAACCGGTAACTGTCTGAGCATACCAGTAGCCATTTATGCTTGAAATAGCTTCGTAAGGTAATAAACCACATTTTAGAGGTTTTCGTGAACCAAATGGTACTTTCACGTCAAATGCACTATTGTCATCAATAGTGCCTTGAATTTCACATCCTTGATTGAATTAGAAAAAAAATAACATAATCTGGCTCACACTATGAACTCTGATCCTGAGCAAATAAGAAAGAATGTAGAAACCTCGTTTGTTAAAGCGGTGTTTTTTTATAAAAACCAAACAATTGAACAAGTGTTAGAATTACAAGAAAAATTTCAGATTTTCATATAAGAATTTCAAGGTGGAGACTGCCCCTCTATATACTTACATCATCTTTTATGTCTACCCCCATAATTTGATTTTTTTCATTTCTTCCAGTACTAGTTAGTATTACATTAGTTTTTTGCATTTCCAACATAAGGTATGATCACAGCAGAATATCTCTATTGCACTCAGTTTCCTCCCATTACTTTTCAATTGGCTGCAAGACTACCTACAACATTTCATCACTACCTGACGTGATCCCCATATCACTCTCAGAAAACCATCTCTTCACTTCACAATTGCTAACTACTTGACTCCCTGGTGTGCAAAGTCTCTCCAGGTGCATATCTGATCCATCTCCATTTCCTGCATATTGTTGGATCACAGGTGCTAATCTGATTCCCTATCAGGGTTTCTTGGTGCCTATCCTTTCCGGCCAGCCATATGGTTTTAAAGTATTGAGTGAAGACAACTGTGGTTGAAAGTCTGAAGAAACCAATTCCCTGAACTATTTACCGACAGAACTGACTTGACATTATTCTAAGAAGTTTAGACGGTGTTCCTTGTGCTAAGTACCCTAGATCTCAACTTTGTCTTGCTTTCCTGACTTCAGCTCTGATATCCTCATCTGGGTCACCTGTATTATTAACGTTTAGGAACCTTGATCAGTGTATAGGTGTATACATTTCTTTACTGAAACAACAATATCAGCAACACGTTCTTTTTTAAAAAAAACAGAATGGGATATAAAGGAATGACTTAGAATACTTGAAATAATAAAGCTATTTACGGTACAAAATCAGTTCGCATTAACAAGTAAAATTTCCCTAAGAGAATAGTATTAAGAAATTAAGAATCACTAAGTTTGACTTAAATTGACACGAGTTAATGTGGCACACTTAACAACTGCTATCTTATGACAGCCATGAACTGAAATAATATTCCATTCATTAACTGGTGTACTGAAAACGAATTCCACTCACAGACGAGAATCCCTTTAATTAATATCATTTCAATTATTTCTTTCAAACAGTCCAATTTTTATCACTTAACAAGCTTTTTTCTTCAAATTACATTAATTCAATCGTTCTGAGGTATATTGAGGGGTATTTATTTCCCAATGTCATTACAATAACAATCAGTTATCAAAGATATAATTTGAGAATATTAGAATCTACAAAATGCATAATATCTCCTAGACAACAAGATTTTTACTTATTATATTGTTTCGTTATTTTATTATAGCTTGACTCCACACAGTATTTCTGATACAAGCATGGAATTTTCAGCATGTGATATCGGTGGCCCAAATTTAGCAGGCCGGTGGGCGTCGGCCGGCTGAAAACAGAAATTAGCTTCTACCCCCTTTTTGCAGAGAACTATTCCATTTTTATTTTTTATTTTACTTTTCACTTCTCATTAAGATATCATTGTTCACTACAAATGAATCAGTCAACTACCTTTTCCGAAAAGAAAATGGTTGGAAAGAAGCAGACTGGTGATAATTCTGATCACTTTGAATATCATAGTATGTCCGAATAGCGATCTCTTCGTGTAGATTCAGACGTGTCAATCTTTGTGTACCACTTAATGAAATTTTCACGGGACAAAATAAATCAGTGATAATAATTTTTAAACAACGCTCGCCAGAAACCACAGTAACACCGAAATCCCAATATCCAATATCCTGATTACGAGCTAGTATAAGCCAGTGATTTCTTTGAGCTCGCTTCTTGATTGTGAGGTAGAGGTTCCAGATCTTCGGTGAGCTTCTGCGTAGTAAGTCCCGCCACTCGACTGCTTTAGCTCTGGTAGACTCCAGGAGGAGTGGTGCGGGGATTGGTCGAGATGTGGTTTGTAGTATGCAGTATGTTAGGACTGTATTGCTGCCGTGAATGGAGTTTGACCTAACTCCCGTTGGTCATTCGGTGTAGTCATAAAAGCAGAATAGTAGTAATAATAATAAGAATAAAAATAATGGGTTGTAGTGTAGATAATATAGGTTGAGATAAGTGGAATAATAAAGGTGACCTAAGGAAAAGATAGAGTGAGAGAAGGCAGAATAGGTCGTGGGGATTTAGTTTGTACGCTTATCCATTGACAGTGTGGTTTCAAGTTTTATGGGGATAAGCCATTGAGACACAAACCTTGCATTTCTGCATGATTGTCTAGCTTCCGCTTAAAAATCTCCAGAGATGGCGCTGTAGTCACGGCCGCCGGTAAAGCGTTCCAGAGACGGCAAACACGAAGCGAAAAGAAATGTGATCGCACTCGAGTCTTTGGTCTCTGGTGTGCTATCCTTAGCGGGTTACCTCGTGGAAGCCTATAATCACTTAATGGCAGGATGCTTTTATTTGGGTGGGCCTGGTCATTTAGGATCTGGTAGACGGTGATGAGGTCTCCCCTGTGCCTACGGTAACTAAGTGTGAAAAGACCTAATTTCTTTAGTCTTTCCTCATATGATTTGTTGCGGAGGCCGATCACCCATTTTGTCGCTCGTCTCTGGACACTTTCTAGAATGTTAGCATCCCTTTTGAGTAGCGGAGGTGCAATGATATTATGCACCTCAAGGTGTGGCCTCACATATGCCTTATATAACCTTAAGAACAGTTCGGGAGTGAGAGCTCCCAGCTGCCTGTGCATAAAGTGTAAAGTTGCGTAGGCTTTGGCGACGTCCCTCGAGTAATTTCCACTGGTGTCTAGCTTTTCTGTTAGAATAAGACCTAGATCACGCTCTGATGGAACACAACTCAAGTTCTGGCCACCAAGGGTGTAATTTACACTCTGTGACCTGCCGGAATGAAGCTGCACTACTTTGCACTTCTTTAGATTGAAAGGCATTCCGTTAGCCAAAGCCCAATTTCCCAGAGTTTGCAGGTCAGCCTGCAATCTATCTGAGTCTTCCGATGAGTTTATTGCTCTCCAAATCTTTACGTCGTCAGCGTAAAGAAGCGCAGAGCAGTTTAGTTGGGAGGGCAGGTCGTTGATAAAAATCAAAAACATCAACGGCCCTAGGATAGAACCCTGAGGAACCCCTGATGCCGAGGTGTGCCAGGATGATCGGATGCGGTTGACTTTGGTGCAGAATTCTCTCTCGCCTAAGTAATCTTCAGCCATGCGAGAAGTGCTCCAGAAACACCCGCCTTGCTTATTTTGTGAAGGAGCAGACCATGGTGAACTGTGTCGAATGCTTTCGCAAAGTCGAGAAAGATCACGTGGGCTGGTACCTTTTTGTCCCAGGATAGTGTCCAATCGTTCCAAGCTAGTAGAAGATTCGTCACGCAGGATCTTCCCCTCCTGAAACCGTGCTGTGCTTCGTGAAGAAGGTTAGTCCCATCGAAGTATTTTCTCATGTGGTCGTCAATGAGACTTTCCAATATCTTCGATACACTGGAAGTAGAGCAACTGGTCTGTAACTGGTCACATTCTGCCGGTCACCACCCTTGAAGATAGGGGATAGGATTGCACGTTTCCATTCACATGGAAGTTTCCCTACATCAAGGGAGTGTTGGAACAGATCACTTAGGGGTTGGCAGAGACTTTCTGAACACTGCTTCAGGACAGATGGTCTGATGTCATCACAACCTGAAGACTTTCCCGAAGCCAACCTTCCCAATTTTGCAAGTACCATAGCCGGGGTAATTTGAAATGTACCCAGCAGGTTTTCGCGTGTTGGTTTTGCGATGTAATCTGGATGTTCTGTAGGGGTAATATCCTCGTTACTATTTAGTTGCCTGTGAAAGGCTAGGCTGAATGTCTCTGCCATTTCAAGACTAGTAAGAGATTTCCCATCAGAACCCACTAGATTGCATGCTCCCTGGTTGGTCGGTTTTCTTTCGGACATAAACCTGTATAGGCTTTTGGGGTTCACGAGAAGCTTATTGGCGAGGTCTCCCTGAAATGTCCTTCTATCGCTCCGGACTCGTATGTTACATCGATTCCTGAGTTCAAGGTACACTTCATGTTCGGGTTGACTCTTCGATCGTCGCCACGCAAACCAGGCTTTTCGCTTCGCCTGCAGAAGGCGTTGTGTCCCCCTTTTCAGCCATGATCGTTGCTTCCTAGCTTTTGGTGAGACTAAAGGAACAGTGTCTGAGACCGCCTGGTGAATGATCTCCTTTACCACTCTCCAGTGTTCTTCAACTGTTAGCTCTGTCCATTTTTTAGGCCAGTTTGCTTCAGACAGAAGTCTTCGCATTTTGGTGTAGTTGGCTTTGTTATAACACAGATAGGGCTGTGTATTGTCCCACTGTAAGCGCTCGCGGAGGACTATGTCGAATACTATGACCGCGTGGTCACTACTACCTATGGGAGTCGTGATCTGAACGTTTTCCACTAGTAGCTGGTCACTAGTGAGCACGTAATCCAGTCTAGAAGACTTCCCATCAGGGCCCCATCTAGTATCCATCTTGACATTTTCAGTGAATCCAGCCTTCCTGATGGTATGCAGCAGATTTCGATCAAATCTATCATGGGCTTTTCCCGACACCAAGTTAAGAGATGGGGCATTGAAGTCACCAGCTATGACAATTTGATCATAACCCATGTCTTGAGTTGCTGAGATTGTATTTAGCAGTACCTGGTTGTGGTCTGCTCCACATGAAGGTGATCGATAAATGCTGCCCACTAGATATTTGCAGTACCCAACGGTGAAGTGGCACCATATGGAGTCAGGGAGCTCTGTGAGGGGAGGGTCCATCGCGTGAACACATCTGAGCTGTTTGTCGACGTATATGGCGACTCCACCTCCTTCTTTCAGGTCCCTATCTCGCCTGACTAGGACCATATCATTTATACTGACTTCGCTGTCTGCCACCGTAGGGGTTAGCCAGGTTTCCGTCAGTATTATGATTTTGGAGTTCAGTTGTGATTGTAGGTGTCTAAGTTCAGCTATTTTGCCTCTTAGCCCTCTCACATTACTGTACAGGCAACTGGTAGTCAGTCTCACCACTTCCCCGTATTGGGGGGTAGTTGACTTGATATTGGCTATCGGTTGAGGGGTTATCCTACGAACTAGTTGGCCGATTCCCCAGGAACCGGCCTGTTGGCGTTTTTTTCTTCTAGTTCAGTCGGAGCACTCGGATGACACTGGCTATCATCGTCCGTGCTGCACCGCTGTAGTGTGACTAGGGGTTGAGGATTTTTTTAACTACGCTTTGTTCTCTCCTTTGAGTGCGAGGCCGGCTCTCGCAGCAGCGAATGTGTTTGCTGACCTTGTCCTTGGTCTCGTACCATCTTTGGAGAGCGGTAGTCAACTGGTCTTGGGAGCTGAACTTGACAGCTAACAGACGTGGCGAGTTAATTGACATAAGATGAGTCCAATTTCGTTTTTACGAGCTAGTGTGAACCAGTTTGATTTCTATGTGCTCGTTTCTTGATTGTAAGGTATAGGTTCCTGATCTTCAGTAAACTTCTGCGTAGCTCGTCCCGCCACTCGACTTTTGTAGCTTTGGTTGACTCCAAAGGGAGTATCCAATATCCTGATTACGAGCTAGTATAAGCCAGTGATTTCTTTGAGCTCGCTTCTTGATTGTGAGGTAGAGGTTCCAGATCTTCGGTGAGCTTCTGCGTAGTAAGTCCCGCCACTCGACTGCTTTAGCTCTGGTAGACTCCAAGAGGAGTGGTGAGGGGATTGGTCGAGATGTGGTTTGTAGTATGCAGTATGTTAGGACTGTGTTGCTGCCGTGCATGGAGTTTGACCTAACTCCCGTTGGTCATTCGGTGTAGTCATAAAAAGCAGAATAGTAGTAATAATAATAAGAATAAAAATAATGGGTTGCAGTGTAGATAATATAGGTTGAGATAAGTGGAATAATAAAGGTGACCTAAGGAAAAGATAGAGTGAGAGAAGGCAGAATAGGTCGTGGGGATTTAGTTTGTACGCCTAACCATTGACAGTGTGGTTTCAAGTTTTATGGGGATAAGCCATTGAGACACAAACCTTGCATTTCTGCATGATTGTCTAGCTTCCGCTTAAAAATCTCCAGAGATGGCGCTGTAGTCACGGCCGCCGGTAAAGCGTTCCAGAGACGGCAAACACGAAGCGAAAAGAAATGTGATCGCACTCGAGTCTTTGGTCTCTGGTGTGCTATCCTTAGCGGGTTACCTCGTGGAAGCCTATAATCACTTAATGGCAGGATGCTTTTATTTGGGTGGGCCTGGTCATTTAGGATCTGGTAGACGGTGATGAGGTCTCCCCTGTGCCTACGGTAACTAAGTGTGAAAAGACCTAATTTCTTTAGTCTTTCCTCATATGATTTGTTGCGGAGGCCGATCACCCATTTTGTCGCTCGTCTCTGGACACTTTCTAGAATGTTAGCATCCCTTTTGAGTAGCGGAGGTGCAATGATATTATGCACCTCAAGGTGTGGCCTCACATATGTCTTATATAACCTTAAGAACAGTTCGGGAGTGAGAGCTCCCAGCTGCCTGTGCATAAAGTGTAAAGTTGTGTAGGCTTTGGCGACGTCCCTCGCGTAATTTCCACTGGTGTCTAGCTTTTCTGTTAGAATAAGACCTAGATCACG